AATTCACTGTACGTATATACTGTAGACTACATCGTAGCCATCGTTAGCAGCAGCACGCTATGATCTATCCACTGCTGGGCCAATGACCTCCGCACCTGCCTGCATACATCAGCTGATTTTCTAGATTTGAAGCTTTCGTGACTGCAAGGATCCATACTCTTTGGTTCTATTCGGTAAAGTCACGTAGGTAAAAAATAAAATAACAAAAATCACGACGTTTCGGCCACAACACAAGTGGCCTTCATCAGGTGAAGGGACCGTGCTGTCATGAGGACAGCGTGGGAGTGCTCATTTATATGATAATTCCTTTGTCAAGCGTTTTGCTTCCTCCCACACAGCTTAAATGACGCGACCTGGGCTTGATTGTTTTCACTCCAACGCTGTCCTCATGACAGCACGGTCCCTTCACCTGATGAAGGCCACTTGTGTTGTGGCCGAAACGTCGTGATTTTTGTTATTTTATTTTTTACCTACGTGACTTTACCGAATAGAACCAAAGAGTATCAGCTGATTTCTCAACGCTCCATCCACGCTTAATAAAGACACATTACAATTAGGTAACATTCCTTGTCTACTCGTGCTAAAACTAAACATATATGCAGACAACACCACCTCCTTGCCGTAGCTGTCTCTCCACATTTTATCTTTTAGGACATTATTCATTAGGTTGTATTTATTTTTACACATCCCATCAGGCGCATGGCCTTCTTAGGAGTGCATTTTATTTTCAGAATCGTTGGTTTGTTCCAAGCAACTTCTGAACCGATGTCGACATTCAATATTTCATCAGCAGTGCCATGCTTTCTTAAAAGCGATGCAACTAGGATCTCTACAATGTTCCTCGCCATCGACTCAAGCCCCGATTCCCTCCGTCTGGAATCGCGCTGCTGCTGCTGTCACCATCCTAGACTATCTCAGCCAGATCCAAAATAAGGCTGGCGAACAAAGTGGTACAACGTAGCTGTCCAGAACGAACGCCTCATTCGAGACACAGACATCAATGCAACCCCTGCACGGCTTTGCCATTCCTCCTCGAAGACACCGGTTGGAACGATCAACCGCATCAGGACACCAACAGGCCAATGCGGTGCCACATCTCCTTGAACATTAAATACACGAGCCACAGCAGTGCGATTGTGGCCACACAACCCACACTCCGCTGAGCACGGTCGGCTACGTACGCTGCGGAAGAAGTTCAACGTGCATGGAAACTATGCATCGTAAAAGTAAACCACTGTAATCTGCGCTCCTTCAACAGAGGAGGAACAGCACAACGACACGAACTCTCTCTCTCTTTCCTGAAGCCCTCTCATCGTGGCCAGCAGACCTCGACATTGGCATCGAGATACTGAATATATTATCCTGCCATATGCTAGAATTGGGAAGAGATGCTGGGGAACTGCCAGGTGGTTCTAGGCAAGGGCTCCATCTCTGCTAGATACGGGTTTAGATTTGAAGCTTTCGTGACTGCAAGAATTCATACTCTTTGGTTTTTTCGGTAAAGTCACGTAGGTAAAATAAAATAAATGAAAACAACTAAATTAAATCACGACGTTTCGGAGGCAACACAAGCTTCCGTCTTCAGGTCGAACAGTCACAGCAAAATAGCTGTATCAAGTAGTGTAAAAAAAAATAACTTGATACAGCAATTTTGCTGTGACTGTTCCACCTGAAGACGGAAACGTGTGTTGCCTCTGAAACGTCGTGATTTAATTTAGTTGTTTTCATTTATTTAATTTTACCTACGTTACTTTACCGAAAAAACCAAAGAGTATAGATACGGGTCCTTCGTTCGATGCGAAACTTTGCTGTGCTAAAACGGATCAATCAATATACACGTGTACGTTTTAAAGAATAATCAATAGTAATTGAGAGTAATTGAATGCAATACCGAACGAAGTCCCTTTCACTCCTTGCACGTTGTTTGACATTGCGTGTTTGGTGAAAGGAGTAGCCAAAGACCGGCTCATATATCACATGCCACTGATGCTAGCCGCGTCGCTGAAATCGCTAACCACAGCGCCACCGCTCCTCCTCCCCCCCCCCCCCCCCCCCCCCCCCCCCCCCCCCCCCCCCCCCCCCCCCCCCCCCCCACCACGGCGGGGCATGACAGAGGAGGGTTGCTGAACGATAACCGGTGACAGGTTTATTTTCTCTTTGACAATCTTTTATCGGTTCCGAAAGTCGGGAACCTTCCCCTCACTCCCCCCAACCGTTTCCGGAGGAACGCTCCGAATAAACGCGCCGAATTTTGCACGCGCCGACGTACAAACCGCATGGCGGCCCAAGTCAACCGCGTGGTACATTTGCCCTCGTTGCATCCTTGCAAGGCCTCTCTCTCTCGCCCCCTCCCCGCACCACCGGTGCCCACCCCCCAAAGCGACCACCACGTCCCGCGAGAGTTGCAACAGCACAGCGGTAGTGTAAAAAAAAATCTATAAGCGTCGTGTAGTTTACAACGTCATTATTTAAAAACCGCATACCACTCAACGATTTGTGTTTAATTAGGCCATCATGATAATCATCATCAGCAGCAGCAGCAGCAGCACCACCACCGTCCGCACTGGCATGATCGTGAAGCCATTCTATATCCACTGCTAGATAAATGAATGTCCGACTCCACGGCTTCGATCGCAATCTCTCTCAATTTGCCGCGACGCGAAACTAAGTAGGCTCTACTTATACAAAACGTATCTCTTAATATTTACGTGCATGGAGCACGTTACACAGTTGGTTCGTGCTGATTTATATTCGCTTCGTAGCTTTGCTGAGCTTTATTCATTTTAGCTTTTGCCATGTTGGTGACCCAGGCCAATCTGGCATTGAGACTCATCCTGCTGCCTTGAGTTCTCACGAGCTGGTTAAACAAAATAAAATAAAACACGTTAAACCATACACGACGATGCACAGTGTGTGCATACAGAGAGCAATGTTGTTCAACGTTGCAGTGCCGCTGGTACGGTTATTGTCAAGTCCTGAGTTAGCCTCACACTTGAACGTCTATGTTTGACATCAAACTACAACTCCTAAGTGGCGCTGCTGCTGCTGCTGCTGCGTTTGTAGTGGTGCACGAACGTGGCAAGTAACAAAATGAATAGAACTATAACAACAATAACATCCATAACAGGTCTTTGTTTAGGTTAAATCGTGGAAATATAAATGTGTCGTTAAACCCACCACCACCCGACACAGCCAACTAGTAATGTTTGTCACGTGAACAGAGCATGCCAATTCGTCATTAGCGCGGCACACCGGTGTGTGTTGGAGAGCAAATCCACAACATTTACAATCTGAGTACGACGTTTCGCCAGCAATTACAACCGGCATCATCAGGCGGCAGCCCGATTTGTGGAGAAATCCTCCTCCTGTTTCAATAACAACAGTAACAAAAATGGCAACAATAAAAAGCACAGCGAACAATAAAAAACTTGACACATTCGTCGACAGGACCGCGTGACCTTCAAATGAAAGTGATATAATAGGTGACGTTTTGGGCAATGGCCCTTCTTCATGGCACATATGTCGAGAGGCCGGAGAGACAGAGTTGGACAGCAAGAGAGGTAGACAGCACTTATCTTGAAACATTCACAGCGACTAATAAAGTGAAATGCGGTGAAACTGACACGGGGGTGTGAATTCTTATCCGTCAATTAAGGCATTGGAAAAAGGCAGAGAAACGAAGTAACGAGGATAAATCACAGTCACAGCGATGCACGTACAGACACACACAGACAAATATCCCCCGTATAGCCTCACCATACCATTGGGGGCAAGTGCTGTGAGCGAGCACCCGCCCGGATGTGTCTCCCTATTGGCGATATTTACACATCGCACCAAGCACTCAAATGAGTCGCAGGTGGTAGCCGTGAGCGGGAATCGAACCCGGGTCACCAGGTTCCCCACACAGATACAAAGATCCCCTGTATAGCCTGAACAGACTGTAGGGGCAAGTGCTGGTAACGAGCACCTATAAAGGCCGGTACGGCACACGAGGGGGTGGGTGGCCAACACTACGCCCGGCCGCCTTTGTCTCCCTAGCGACGATGTTTACACATTGCACCAGGTACTCATTTGAGGCTGAGTCGCCCTAGGGCAGGCCCAGGACCGGTTCAGATAATCGTCACCGTGGTGTTTTGCCGTGAGCGGGAATCGAACCCGGGTCGCTAGGTTCGCAGGGGAGCGTAGCGCTAACCGCTACACCACCGCTCCCCACAGATTGAAAAAAAGACTCACACACACGAGACCAAGAGAAGCGAAGAGCAAGAAGAGACTGAGAGATACAGAGCTAGACACACGCACAGAGAGCAAAGGCACACAGACAGACACACGGGTAAAGCAGCGACACGCACGATGTCTACACATAGAACAAAGACAGAGAGAGAGACACGCACGCAGAGGACCAGAGATAAACGGACGAGTGAGCATAAAGAAAAAATGAAGAGGCAGAGAGACAGGCGGCGAAGATGGGCACGCAGAGATACACAAAAGAGGCATACACAGACACAGAGATGAGTAACACATGCAGAGCGAGGAGATATACAGACAAGCTGAGAGAGAGATAGAAGAGAGAGAGAGAGACACGCAGAGACGCAGGCAGACAGACGGAGAGCAAAGAGAGACACCGCAAAGGGATAGACAAAAGCACTGACACACAATGACACACACACACATACAGAGAAGACAGAGAGACAAGCAGACAACAGAGAGCCTACACACACACAGCGGGTAACACAGAGACCGAGAGAGAGAGAGAGACACACAGAGTCACGGACAGAGGCGCCCCTCTCCAAACCCCCCCATTGTCAATGACCGCACATCTCTCGCTCTCCTCCTCTCCTCGCCACGTGAAGCTATCGCGCCGCGTAACTCCGCCCGCCCGACGAGGACCCTCCCTCCCTCCCTGCCTCCCTCCCTGCCTGCATCCCTGCCTCCTCCGCCGCCACCGCCACCCGCCTCTTCCCCCTCATTGGCCACGGAGACGGACAGGAGGGGACGTGAGCAGCCCGGGTTTATTAGGCGAGAGGCGTCACCCTGCCAGAGCACATGGTGGTGGTGGTGGCGGTGGTCCCAAGACTCAGCGCTTTTCCCAAATGCGCGAGGCAGAGCGGGGACTCGTGCCCCAGGCGTGCCCAGGTAAGTGGCGGTGCGTGCGGCGGAGTGAACATTTCGTTGCGCGCGCAAGTCATCAACGTGGCCTTTGAGCCGTGGGTTGATATGGTATCATCAACAGCAGCATCTGAATCATTGTTCATATCAACTGCTGTGGCCGAAGTCGTTGTACCCATCGTCAGCAGAAAACAAATTGATATGCACTTCTGAATGAAGGCTACTTTTGCATCTCCATCAGCAGTCTTCCGCCGACTGATCATCAGCCTTTGCCTAACCGCTTCTGCTTAGCGGCTTTTCTTCCGACTGCTATTGTTCAGCAGCAGCTATGCACTGCTGGATGACGGATTCCTGCTAATTATCAACATTATCGGCCATTGTTTAATCCACGGCCTATTCCTGCTGCTAATTATCATCGACAGCAGCCAATGTCTATCCACTGGTGTATGAAGTCTTCCTCCAACTCGTCATCAATCATCACCCATTTATCCACTGCTGGATGAAGGACATCCGCGTGCCAAAGCCAGCATCCCTGCACGGTCGTGCGATGCCACAGCTCACTTCTCATGCCATTACACGCGTGTGTCTACTAGTGTGTATGTATGTCTATGTAAATTGACGTTTGTGTGTGTGTGTGTGTGGTGCATGAAAATGTAGTGTGCGCGTCTGTGCATGTATGTATGGGGAGCGGTGGCGTAGTGGTTAGCGGTGCTGCGCGACGAACCCAGCGACCCGAGTTCGATTCCCGCTCTCATGACCAACACCACTGACGATTATCTGAACCGGTTGTGGATCTCCCCTAGGTAGACTCAGCCTTACAATGAGTACCTAGGTGCGGTGTGTTAACATCGGGACTGGGGAGACAAAGGCGGTCGGGCGTGGTGCTGATCCCCTGGTGTGCCGTAGCAATTGCCCCAACAGTCTGTCAAGCCTGTCCGGGAAATCTTAGTATTCGTTTTCTTGTGTATGTACATTGCACTTCTTTCGCACCGTACGTAGCTAACCGTAGCGAATCATAGGCTATCTGCTACACCGTGTGGTACCGTTTACTCGGCGCTGCGAGTTTGAATGGTCTCCATCGTTCTGCGGAATACGCTTTACATGAGAGAGAGAAACAGACAGCGGTGTTCGAGAAAACTATTTTTGGGGAGTGGTAGCGAGGGTGGGGAGGCGTGCGCAGCGATATTAGCTGGGAAATTAATACACTCGCTCGTCCTCATGATTTTGCTATTCAATACCCAAAGCTGCGACGGTAGTTCGAAATTCACCGGGACTTTTCTGTTCCACCAAATCGTACGTGATGCTATGTCATCAACGGCGTGGGGGCGAATACTTAATAGTCCAGCAGTGAATAGAAAATATATCATGATGATGGCGAGTGGGTTATTGAAAATGTGTGTCGGTAAGTTTCCACGTGTAACTTGGGAAACGAAAGTAGAACGAGACGAGTTATATAGATCGACATTGAAAAACTGCGTTCATATTCACGGTAGGTAAACCTTTCGAGAAAGGCCCGTGACCTCTGAAACGTGGTAAGCCAAGAAACTCTGAAACCACCGCCTCGCTGACATCTGCGAGTCGCAAAAAGCGATAGATGTTGTGACAGATGTTTCGCGAATTAAATAGATAGCGCGAGTTTGGAAAAGGCGAAGCGAGGGAGGAGTGGGGATTGAAGGCGCATTGCAGAGAAACTGACACTCGCTTCCCCACGGACACGGCATCGGCCTATAGACGGACGTCGCCCAATGTAGCTCCTTATTTCCTTCAGCGCATTCGGAAGAACATTTTAATGATGAATAATAGATTTATAAACTTTCAGCTAGAGAAAAAAAACTTTTTTTTTTACTTTTTGCTTTAAATAAGGAGCTATAGAAGTATATCACATATATAATACAACTAGACATCTATGAAGAAGAGCTTTAAAGGTCATCGGATTCCTCCAGTATGAAGGAAATATTCTGATTCTGATATGTAAATGAATAGCATTACACCGTGCATGTGTATGACTTCGAATAATGTATCTATGCAGACGCATACATATGCATCTATTTAAAAAGATGTTTACTCCGCTTTCAAAGCAGTGTTTCTCAAAATATTAGCCGATTGTGTGCGTATTAAAAGAACAACTTACGGCTGTTAATCCACTGCTGGATGAAAGGCTTACCCAGGTCGGGTCGGTCACGGGGGCCGTCTCGCCATACTTCAGATAATGACTCGCCACTGACGTTAGCTGCGGCCGCGTTTATGATTTAGGAAAGTCGGGGCCATATAGTTGCGTGCTTACCACTGCACCACCGCTCCCCTCCAGCGCATAAACATATATACATAGCATAATGTCAGTGTTTCATAACAGTAAAAATTGCACGGGCGCAACGTTGTTTTATCCAATGATGTGTGCGCATTGCATTAAAAAAAAAACATTAAATTCGACGGTAACGGAATTAGACGCTGGGGCGGGTATGTTTTAAAATTAAGCTATTGACACTTGCTTCTTTCATCGTATACAGTTATTATCATCATCGTTTACACAGCAGGCCGGTGGATTGTATGGACACAGAGGAAATCGACAACAACAACAATCGCCGCGTGATGGAATGCGACTCTCACGCCTTGCCATCGATAGACCCTGCAGTTCCGTTACCGCGCTCGCATCATCAGCACCGCGCGAGTATTTATTTATTCAAATGAAAATTATTGATTGTGAGTTTTGTGCCGCTCTATCATTTTGGGTCGAACTAGATAGGACCCCCCCGCCCCATATCGTACAGACCACGCAGTGTCGTTGATCAATGAGATCCCCAGCATTGATTCGGAGCCAGCCTTAACCCTGTTGGTGAGACGCTGTATGTCGAAACGGGTCCATAGTTTGCTTGTCCTGCATCATTGCTGCTGAAGTTGTTACACTCGAGTGACTGCTGGGGTTGCGTGATGCGTGAGCAACTTTTATCATTAGTTCCAGGGAGATACGAATATGCACGTACGTATGTTGAACTTCCATCGCGGCGTACGTAGCCAACCGTGCTAATCGGAGACAATGCCTCTCATGCGAAGGAGATATTACCTGCCTATTTTTTTTGTTATCATCAGCCATGGTCAATCCACTGCTGGACCGTTCAAGACCTGGCCCCAAGTCGCCACTAGCACAGCTCACGGTCGTGCGATGCAACAATCCCAAAGACAAAGATCGCCCCGTATAGCCTGAACAGACTGTTGGGCCAAGTGCTGTTCCGGCTCCGATGAAGGCCGGCACGGCACACGAGGGGTGAAGGCCAGCAACCACGCCCCACCCGCCTTTGTCGCCCCAGTGGGGATGTTTTTATTTTTTACACAACCGCACCAGGTACTCATTTGAGGCTGAGTCGACCTAGGGGAGGCCCAGAACCGGTTCAGATCACCGTCACCGGCGTTGGCCGTCAACGGGAATCGAACTCGGCTCGCCGTGTTCGTAGCTCAGCGCTCGGACCCGCTACACTACCGCTCCCCACACAACAACATCTCCCCGGCAGACAAACGCGCGCTACCTTAGAATACACTGCGTTATTATCGTATTAAGTCGGTAATCATTCCTAGCCGGCGACAAAGACAAACACACACAACCACCGTGAGATTAAGAGCGGCCGAATGGAACACGGCGCGAGTACAACCGTGCCGAGTTACGTGACCGTCTATTTGCACGTGGGATTAAGTTTTGTTTAGCCACCCCGCAAAAGTCGACACCGGTACATGTTTGGTGAAGTTATCGTTCGATGGTCGCGGTAACCGGAGCCTTAATCGCCGATTAAAGTCATCACTGGGAGGGCCGGGAGTAGAAGGACGTGACACTGGGGTCGATGGCGGATGATGGTTACCGTGTGTCTGTGGTGTCTGTGGTGTGTGGAGCGGTGGTAATTGGTGGTTTAGCGCACTGCCCTACGAAACCCGGCGACCCGAGTTCGATTCCCGCTCTCACGGCCACCACCGGTGACGATTATCTGAAACCGTTCCTGAGCCTCGCCTAGGTCGACTCAGCCACAAATGAGCACCTGGGTGCGGTGTGTAAACATCGCCACTGGGGAGACAAAGGCGGTCGGGCGTGGTGGTGGTCACCCACCTCGTCGTGCACCAAACCGCCCTTCATTGGGTGCTCGCGAACAGCACTAGCCCCAACAGTCTGTTACAGCCTACGGGGGGGGGGGGGGGTCATTGTCTTTGGTGTCTGCGGTGTTTGTGGCTGGCAGAATTCATTGCCCGACAGATGCAACCCGACCCGCCTTAATGATGGGCCTCCCGTGAAGTCACGGGGCGGTCGGTGTGACGTGATTCATAATCATCGCCGGGTTGCACTGCAGTCCGCAATGCGCTACCTCGCACGCGGCGCGGCTTGGAGAGCTCAGCGCAATTGTGTCAATTGTATCATGAAGTTTATAGAATCAACACGCAGCAGCAGCAGCTGAATATTACTTGGGGCGCCCTGCCACGTATGAAAGTTCGTGACATACGGGATCGTTACTCTTTGGTTCTATTGGGTAAAGTCACGTAGGTAAAAAATACCTTCACCTGATGAAGGCCGCTTGTGTTGTGGCCGAAACGTCGTGATTTTTGTAATTTTATTTTTTACCTACGTGACTTTACCCAATAGAACCAAAGAGTATGGATCCTTGCAGTCACGAAAGCTTTAAATCTAGAATACGGGATCGTGGCGACGGTATTATATACACGCGCATACTTATATATGTGTGTGTGTGTACAATAGAGTATATATCCAAGTTAAAGTATTTTGTGCTGCTGCGGTGACACTTGTGCAATCAACAACAACAACACGTGCGTTAATAACACTGCGTGACCTTAAAGGGAATATATATAATAGGCGACGTTTCATGCAATGGGCCTTCTTCGTAGCACATCAAACACGTACGACTGCCCATCTTCACGGCACAACATGATTTGTAATTGATGTGCTATGAAGGGCCATTAACCGACATGCGACGTATTTTACATATATATTATTTGAAGGAAGTGTTATTGACGAATGTGAGTTTTTTTTGTATCTATATGGATCGGTATGTACTACCTGCTATGACACGGTACGTTAATAATAAAAATAGAACAAAATTGCGCAAAGAAGCATGGAGAGTTGCGTGCTTGGAATTACACCGACAGAGTGAAAGATAAACACGTGGATTAGAGAATTATGCACAAGTTTAAGAGATCTTTCATAACTTGATTCGGCGCTTTCGTGACTGCAGGAATTACTCTTTGTTTTTTTTATTGAAAATTTATTCTTTCTTATTTCTACGTGACTTAACCGAAAAAAAAAACAAATAATCTTTCATAACGTTCAGAAAAGTATGTGGGCTTGGGCAGGACTTGTGCCAATGGGGGGTGGTGTTGGTGATGATGATGGTGGTGGTGGTGGTGATGGTGATGATGGTAGTGGTGGTAATGATGGCTATGATGGCGATTATGGTAGTGGTGATGATTGATGATGGCGGTGGTGGTGATTATGGTGATGATGATAGTGGTTGTGGCGATGATGGTGGTGGTGATGATGGTGATGATGGTGGTGGTGGTGATGATGGTGATGGTGGTGGTGGTGATGATGATGATGGCCCATGGTGAAGCATAGTGATCGAGTGGCAGTCAAAGGATGAAATGCGTCCGGGAGGACGTCTACCAAAGAGGGAGATCGTCGATGAAATCGGTTCGTGTGCGAGGCACATTGTTACATCGCAGGACGGCGACAAACAGCCACGGTTTTTTGGGCAACCCTTCATCCAGCAGCGGATTGACTATGGTTGATAGTTTACGGTATATTTTATAAAAAAGGGATAGTCATCGGTATGTAGAGAAGGTATGAGGAAAGTCTTGAGCCTGGCAGAGAGTTGACAGCACGGATACCCGTGAAAGGAGGACGTTCGTATTGCGTGGTGAGCAGGGGAGACATAAGTCGTGCACGGCAATAATCCTCACGTTCGCGTTTCTTGCAGTGAACTCCTCCACGCGGCGAGAAAAAAATGAAGAGAGCGGAATATTCGACGGAACTGCAGTGGCGAAGTGGATGTCACTTTTAGTGATACTCGCAACTGTTTCTTTTTTTTAGCCGTGGCAAAAACCGCACCAGCACCGTCAAACTATTTCCCCGAAGCAACCCCAGCAACATTTAGCGTCTTACGCCATCAAGGACACGTGCTGATAGCGCGACAATTCATCGGCAACTATCACCACCCGCTTGCAATACGCGACAGAGATAGCTGCATGGAGCACGCGGACACACCCGTCGACGTGTCTGGATAGGTAGGCTCGAAGACAAACCTGATACGTCACCTGCAGGAAAGGACAGATTTTTGTGCATTTATGTTAACTCTCCTATTAAGGACCATCGACCGAAACGTCGGTCGCCCTGTGATGTTTCCTTCTTAAGGGCGGTGTTAATGCCGAATGCGTTTGCAGTTTTTGACCAGATACGGTCACATTGATAATACAATAATAGCGACATAGTATATTCACTAATTTGCTGATGGCCCATATGTATACAACTAAACAAATAAATATACTTTATATAGAAGGTAGATTGATGGATTGTCGACAGATTTCCGCGTAGAAAATATACACAGACAGAGAGATTTGTACATGACATCAGTGTGTAAAGGACAAAGCACCGCAAACCCTTTGACTTCGGAATAGATTGATAGCCCAGATATAGGCATACAAACTGACGGATGATAAACGAACACACAGATAGATTGTTAGACGCGTTGTAGACAAAGTCCTAGATTTATAGAGACGAATATAAATCCCTTATATATAGAGACCCATTAACTGACAATTTGTACTGAAATTGTACGAATGTATGTTCAACTTCTTTCGCACCGTACGTAGCCAACCGTGCTATTCGGAGGTGATAGATTTATAAATTAAATACAGTATAGACGTACGGATACAGTACAAGGTTTGAGAGGCACATATACACTTATAGATGTATATACTTAAAGGTAATACAGACGAATAGACCATACATAGACTATACTGTTAAACTGATATTAAAACAAATATCTGCATTCATACACCTCAGTATATACACTGACAAACCATAGAGACCAAAGACCAACACACGTATAGCTTTATTGATACAGACATTGATAGATCCTACACACACATATATATCCATACAAACAGACTGACAGATCACAGACGCGCTGATAGGTGAGTACGCAAAGACAAAGCTCCCCCATTCAGCCGACATAGGCTGTTGGACAAAGTACTGTTAGATACACACACAAAGACAGATCCCTCGTATAGCATACACAAGCTATTGGGGCAAGTGCTTGTTTTTTTTGCTAGCACCCATAAACACACACACACACATAGAGAGAGACTATGGATAAAACCACCACCACCATCACGGGCGAAGACGACGTGGATGTGGAGAGCGTGGACGACGAAGCCACGATTTCAAATCCGCATCTGCTCTCCGAACGACCTGGGTCTCTTACGCAACCACAGCAGCCACCGCCGGGCGTTCTTGCGGCCAGCCCCGAGCAGAGGCGCATGGCTCGCACCCCCAAGTGCGCGCGCTGCCGGAACCACGGGGTGGTCTCGTGTCTCAAGGGCCACAAGCGCTTCTGCCGCTGGCGGGACTGCCAGTGCGCCAACTGCCTGCTGGTGGTGGAGCGCCAGCGCGTGATGGCGGCGCAGGTGGCGCTCAGGAGGCAGCAGGCGACCGAGGTGAGGATGGTGCCCACAACAGCAACCGCCGCCACCACCGCCACCACGACCAAATATTAACCCGGCGACACAGGCACGTCCATAGAGGATGGAGGTGCGGGGCCCCGGGGCAAAAAATCACACCCACGAGACACCTCCAAACTGAATCGTTTGTATTCGATCTCACACCGTGACGTCGAAGCGTATCCCCCGTGCCCCCCCCCAAAGCGCGAGGCCTGGGGCAGTCGCCCCGGTTCGCCGAATCCTCGGGATGGCTCTTCCCACCCACGCAACCTCCCAGACCCCTATCGACTTGGCAGCACTGTTTGGGAGCTGTTAGCGAGTAGCAATGCCTACGAAGGCCTGGCACGCCACGCGAGTGCACGGGGTTGCCGACACCACGCCCAGCCGCCTTTGAAGACTCTCCCGAGTGGCGATGTTAACACGCGGCACCAGGTACTCGTTTTACGGCGGAATCGATCTACGGGATGCCTCGGGCCCGGTTCATATAATCGTTACCTGTGTTGGCCTTGAGCGCGAATAGAACCCGGGTCGCCGGGTGCGTAACGCGGCGCTCTAACCACCGGCCAACACCGGTGACGATTATCTGAACCTGTCCTGGGCCTCCCCTATGTCGACTCAGCCTCAAATGGGTACCTGGTGAGGTGTGTAAAACATCGCCACTGGGAAGACAAAGGCGGCCGGGCGTGGTGCTGGCCACCCGCCCCCTCGTGTGCTGTGCCCGGCCTTCATAGGTGCTGCTCGCTCACACACAGCACTTGCCCCAACAGTCTGTTAAAGGATACACGGGGGATGTTTGTCTTTGTGGGTTTGATCGCAAGCGAGCGCGGGTGGATTCATAGATCGGGTTTAGCGCCGACGTATTATCGGGGTTTATGTGCCGCGCGTCGTTATTAGGCAGGGTGTCCGACGTTTCGCTCCACGTGCCGGGAGCTTCTTGGGCGGTGGGTGGAGGACTGCATTTAGGGTTCGTGCACGTGAAGCGAAACGTCCGGACACATCACGCTGACTAAACACGCGGTAGGAGTAAAACACATTACACACGAGACCTGAACAGCCTATCCCTGAACAGCTATAGGCGCTAGAGCGATCGCGGATGATAACGTGGGCAGATAAGAGACCTTGGTGCAATGTATTGGATCTCTGGAGCAAAGCTGGATGCAACCTGGACAGCACTCTACTTAGATACTGCACATCTGTAAACAAGAGCTTTGTAGCTCATCGGATTCCTCCCGTAAATGAATATTCTCACTCGTACGGGTGACCATCATGAATAGCAGGTGTTATAGGCGACTGTGCTACTTCGCTGTGCTCTGAAACAAGAGGCCGATGCAGCAGTAGCCATTGTTCTGCTGTACGTCTATGCTCCCACGGTTCCGATTTTTAGCCGTCACCAAACCGCACTGACCAGCGTGGTGAAGTATGGTCGGATAACCACGACCAACAATGGCGTCAGGAGGCCCTCATTCGCGAGCCACAGATGAAGAGCTGCACATCTACGCGTGGATTAACGCGAATTAAAAGGGCCATCCATTTAGTACGTACACATGGAGGGGGGAGGGGGGTTAACCCAAATGCGTAGCTTGCGTATGGGGGGGGTCTACTGACAATGTCCGTACGCATCGGAAACGGGGAGGGAGGTGAAGCCTCGATAACAATTTGTCGACATTGGCCTTCAAATTAGTTAGATCGTCCAGCGGTGGACTATCTGTTTGCTTAAACACGTTAATATTGTTCATCCTTGATAGTTTCTTCGTGGATTAAATATCGGCCATTCTATAGGATTCGGGTGGGGGGGGGGGGGGCGTCAGGCGTACGTACGCTAGGAAGGGGGGGGGTGTAAAAAGTACGCGTGCGTACAGGGAGGGGATTTTTGCGTACCTACTCAATGGATGGCCCGTAACCTGGCCATGGAGTGGTGGCGCAGTGGTTGGCATACTTCGCTCCGAGTCCAGCCCGCGTGAGTTAGATTCCTGGCAAGGTGTAACATGAGTGGCGAATGACATCCGAAACTGTGATGGGCCTCGCTTATGTAAACTCAGCCTTTGAAACGCAGTGCATGGCACGGTATATAAAATATAACTACAGGGGAGAAAGAGGTTCACTGTCGTGGTGCGGTCATTCCACCCTTAATAGGTGCTCGCAAACACGCAGTGGTCAGCACACTGTGCAGCGAACAATGCCACACATGGGTTCGTTACCTATTCACGTTTAGCAATAGTGGTGAGCGATATCCACATCGGTCCTGTCCTCTCACCTCTCTCTCTCCCTTCAGCAAAGTAGTAATATTCAGCGTGGTGGGGTACGGTCAAACAATTTCCCTGATCGACACGGCGCATTGGACCTTCATCCAGCAGTGAATTGACAAAGGGAATTGTGCAATTACATATTATATATGTACAGTATATTGTACACATATATATAGTTATATGGGAGAAAGATTCGTCAAAGGTTGAGAAGTGTGAGTAATAGGATGACGAGGAAGAAGCGCCGTATGAATTGTGTGCTTTAAGTGTGGTGGTGGTGGTGGTTGGGTTGGTGGTGGCTTACGCAGCATGGATGAGAGGAAACAGTCAATCTGGTCGAGCGGGTCCTTGACATGGGCGCAGTCGCTGTTAGGGCGTGAACTTCACGCGAACGATAGCCGTGGTCGGGGTAGCGACACAAGAGCGATAAGGAAGACCAACTCTGAAGGGCGGACGGGTGGAGAGACGGAGAGAATGACAGGCGGCGGATGAAGCCGAGGGCAGGGAGGGAGAGCGTCGATCGAGCAAATCGAGCGAGCGAAATTGCTCTGCGCGGTGGCGTCCAATCGAGTGGACTGAAGAATTGTGGGTGGCCAAAAAAAAAACACGTGAACAACAACAACAAAATCTGTGGCATCTGCAACCCCGAATTGTTGGCCAGAGTACTCCGACCAGGAAGACGGAAATAAGTGTGGAGGTGGAGAGGTCACGGGCGGGCGGGGTGGGGGGAGGGCGGAGAGAACTGCGCGTGAAGTCCATGGCGCTCAACTCGGCCGTTGATTGACATGCGCGCTTCCAAACAATTCAGGCGAACGAATCTGAAGCGACTTCGGCCTGCCGGGAGCAACTTATATCCACGTGGCGACCGAGCCTCAATGATCAGGCAACACGCCATTCAGACTGTCGGGGAAAATTTAGGCGGCATCCTTGCTTGCATGTTTGTGATGGATGTTTTTAATGATAGTTAGAATTTAAATGTGTAGAGCGTCATTCATGAAATTGCATCCCACAACGCTGCACCTCAAGTATACAGTTCCGTACACAGATAATACAAAAACAGAAAAAATGAATACATAAATAACGAGAATAAATCACGTAAATAAATAAATCCGTTCGGTCTTCATACCCCAGACCACAATCGCACCACCGCTCCCTTCAACACAAACACTCACTCACCCACTCACACCCAAATTCACTCACCACACTGCAGGTAACACCCACCCACACCGCCTACTCACTCATCCTTCCCCTCGCACCGCTCCACTTTGGATTTCCTTTGCCCTCATCCCTTTTCTCGAGTTCTTATAGCAACCTTGGGCAATTGAAGAAACGCATTCATCGTTATTATTATTACTGCTGTAATAGTGCCGTTCGTGTCTAGCCCCTTGGCGTGTCGGTTCATCGGGCCTCTGCTCATGTAGACGCGCGTCTGATTACAAACCTGAAAATGAGACGCGATATTCAAATGTGCTCTCAGCAGGGATCGAATATTTATGATGAATACGATGATGACGACGATGGAAAATCGGGGCGCTTCGTCAATCCACTGCTGGATGAAGCCCCCCCCCCCCCCGTTTCTCTCCATCCGGGAGTTGTTTAACCTGGTCAGCGTTTTTATGTAAAATGGAGAAAGAAGGGATGGACAGTTACAGCTTTCAGTTATAGCTCCTCGCTGAGGTTAGCCGTGGTCGGGAATCGAACTCACGCGTCACGAGTTCATCATGCAGTGTGCTAACCACAGCGCCGCTCTTCCGCCCCCACAGATAAACAACTATGCTAAATGTATACAGCATTTGCAAATGTAGATGTTTGTATATGCAAATACGGATACAATGTGAATGTATTATTAAAAGGGCACTCGGTGTGCAAATCAACGCAACACGATTGATTGTCATTGCCGCACACAGCTTCTTCGCGACACTTAAGTACTTTTGTAAAGTTATGCATGGTTATTATATAGTGTATGTAAGTGCAAAACTAGCATGAGTGTGGAATCAATAACGCATCATTCCCGTGCACCGATTCACGTGCAGTAAATCGATATTTTCAATTGATAGCCAATTATATTGCAAATTTCATGGTAAATTATTATGTTAACCTTGGTAATTCCCGAAGTCACCCACATTCTTTGTCCCGAGTAGCACGTAGAAAAGTTATTGAGATTTAGATTCAGTGGTTATTTCATATTATCCTAAATGTAACAATTTTGCGGAGTGGTGGCCAGAGAATGGAATACATTGGGAAAATTCATTGACAACGTGGAGATGGAGCGATACAAATTAGCTAACGTGCGGGTGATGGTTGGATTATTACATCGGAGGATCGCGAGAGATGGCGGCGGTTTGGCAAGGCTTTTATCCAGCAGTGGAATGACCACGCATGATGATGAACGTGTTACATGAAGGCTTAACCGAGCGAGTGACACCGCAAAGCAGCCTGCAAAAAAAAGATCCAGAATCGATACAATCTGGAAAACGATTAAACCGAGACAAAAAATAATTGACCAATACATCGATTCGCTATGTTTTTTTTCCCGCAATAATTAATAGAATCGTTACATCCTGCACGTGTGAGTGCGAGCCTGGTGTTTATGAGAAGCGTAAGCGAAGCAGTGAGCGCGCCGCGCTGCAAACCCGGCCACCCGAGTTCAATTCCCGTTCACGGTCAACACCAGTGACGTTTATCTGAACCGGGTCTGGGTCTCCAGTAGTTCAACTCGGGTAAAATGAGTACCTGGTGCGATGCGTTAACATCGACACTAGGGAGACAAAGGCGACCGGGCGTGGTGCTGGCTACCCACCCCTTCGTGTACCGTGCCGACTTTCATTAGGTGCTCGCTAACAGCACTTGTCTTAACAGTCTGTGAATGCTATACAGGGGGTCTTTGTTTGTCTGTTGTATGGGAGAAGCGGTCGCGTGGCGGTTAGCGACCTCAGTATAGCACTCGCGAGCAGCACTTGCCCCAACAGCCTGTGTCGGCTACAGGGGGGATCTGTGTCTTTGTTACGTCGCAGATTCGCGAGGCACGTGGCGACAGCTTTGGGAGGCCTTCATATAAGTCTATTGAGTATGGCAGCTGCTGATGATGGTGGTGGTGATGATGATAAATTGAGGCAGCAGTTAACACTTGCTCCAGCATCCTGGTAGGGCTACAGGGGTTCTTCGTGTGTGTGTATGGACTAGCTGTGTGCATGCGCTTCTATTGGTATCGAGTTGCGAGTCAGGATAAAACCAGCGCGGACGGAATTGGTCCGGCTTATTTGCAACCCCAAAATCATAATTGGCGTCGCTGTGGAGAACACAACGCAACCTTTAACCCGTGGAACGCCACCACGGGGAGTGGAGTAAACTGATCTAAAACTATGTTTTATTGTACTAGGTAAGGCCCACTGAGCTGTATGGCTCTTTTTTGCCTGGCTATCGCAAACGATAGCTCAAAGAAGCGGGCTAATCACGTGGAAATGTGTACAGTATGCAGCAGCCAAATACTTGAAACGCGCGTTGATTCTAAATGTGGACGGCAAAAAAACCGGAGGGACCCTCAGAAAAATCCACGCGACCAACACCGGGAGAGAGACACGCAAACTTCAAATTATACAACGGGCGTCAAGGTTGGGGTCGACCCCACGACCTTCTGTAGACCCGGCGAGGTAGTTAACATCTCCTATCCACTGTGATGATGAGAGAGAGACGCGCAGACTCCAAATATACAGCAGACGTCAGGGTTGTGGTCGAATCCACGACCTTCTGTATACCCGGCGAGGTAGTTAACATCTCCTATCCACTGTGATGATGAGAGAGAGAGACACGCAGACTCCAAATATACAGCAGCAGGCGTCAGGGTCGGGACCGAACCCCACGACCTTCTGTAGACCCGGCGAGGTAGTTAACATCTCCTAGCCACTGTGATGATGAGAGACACGCAAACTTCAAATTATACAACGGGCGTCAGGGTTGGGGTCGAACCCACGACCCCCTCTACACCAGGCGAGGTAGTTAACATATCCTAGCCACCGTGGCGCCCAAATAAATATTCTGATTCTGACTTGCATCAAACGGAAGTTATTTTAGCCAAACAAAATCAGGATCGGTTTTGCTTTCCGCGGGCTATCACAGTTAGGCCGTGATAAATAAAGACTGCTGCTGCCTTAATCAGATTAAGTTTGTAAGATCCCTCTATATTAGCCGAGCGGTAACTTACCAATCGTTTCCCTGATCTATATCTGGGCTATAGAGTGGGCGTTGAGTTGACGTCTAGGTCTGGCCTACAGAGTGAGTGTTGCAATCCAAGTCTGGGATTATAGAGTGGGTGGGTATTGAGTTCTTGGTCTGCGCTATAGACTGGGTGTTCATTTGGAGATATGGACTCGTACAACGGGTGCTGCTGGGTTGTAGGAGCGGGTGTTGAGCGTTGACGATGCGACGACACCGCATGCACGGAACGGGAGTCACTGCGATGAGTGGCTGCGTCATCCGATCCTGAAAGCCACGTCCCTGATCCAACCCACACCTCCTCTCACCACCCCTTCCTCCTCCCTCTCCCCGACTCCCTCAGGCCAACAGCGGGCCCCAGGGCAAGGAGGCCACGGCGAACCGGAGGCCAGTGTACGTCTCTCAAGCGAGGACGCCCAGTCTCCTGGCCAAGAGCATCCTGGACGGTATAACCATGACTGCTCTCTTTCGCCGATCTCGTCAGCAAGGAGCATAAACCATCGCACGAAAACAGTTCGACTTACATATTACGAGATTACTGCTGCTCATCAGTCGTTGGCCGTGGTCAATCCACTGGTGGATGGAGGCCTCTCCAACGCCCACCACATCTCACGATCCTTCTGTGTAATAAGCCTTCTAGCCCCTGCACATGTACGGATTCATTGGTCCATCTGCTGAGTGGACGCGTTCCATTTACTTGCTATCGACAATAATAACTTACAGCAGTTTGCCAATCCCCACCGTCACTTGAAGGCGTCCCAGTGCTGTGTCGGGCATTGGGGTTGTTTGACCATACTTCAACGCGCTGGTCGGTGCTGGTTGGTAATGCGGTTGGAGGGGGGATGGGGGGGGGGTGAGGAAGTGGAGCGGTTCAGATATCACTCGTTGCCAGTTTGTGGGAATTGAACTCGGGCAAACCGGGAGTCCTGTGAGCGAGCGTGGAGCAGGGCAGCGTCACGCAGACGGCCATGTGGAGAGGCACCCAGAGGTCGGCCACCACAGGGGAACAATGAGGCCAGACGACGTTGGCGAGGATGGGAGACTGTGCGATCGGGCCCTGGGTGGCCGCACGCCGACTTTACTAGCCGCTGTTGACCTCCAGCGGAATGAAGCGAAGGCGAGGTGTTTGCGGCCTTGGCACGGCGATGACCCATTGGAAGGGGGTGTATGGGCTATACCAAGGCGTCTGCAACCAAAAATAACAAAAAGGGGCATTTTTTATTTCAAATTCGGTGTATATATACTTTTAAAAAACCTCGATATTTCAAGCGCCGCAATGTCCGTTGATACGACGCGGTAGGTCCTTAATAAAACAACGTCACGAAGCAGCCGTGTGCGGCTCCGGAGCCGCAGGTTGCCGACCCCAGGGCTATTCGCAGTTCATATCTTTACAAATAATTTGGGGGGGTTAGCATGGTCACGTTTGAGTGGAGCTGCCCCCCCCCCCAGCCTCTCCCCCCAACCGACGACCCCGCCACCGCCTTGACCCTCGCCGCCCACCGCTCGCTCTCCCTGCAGGCTACCGCCCCACCAGCGCCAGCGCCGGCGGCGGCGGCGGCGGCGACGACCACTTCGGCAGCGGCCCCGCGCCCGCGCTGCTGCCCCCTCTGAGCGAGCGGATGCGCAAGCGCCGCGCCTTCGCCGACAAGGAGCTCGACTCGGTGATGCTGGAGCGAGAGGCGCAGGCGATGCTGTGCGCGACAAGGGCCGCCGCGCTGCCCCAGCTGGGCGCGCTGCTCCCGCGCTCCCCTTACGCCGCCGGGGGCGGCGGTCTGTACCCGTGCGGCGCTGGCACCGCCGGCGCGCAGCATTTCAACGCCGTGGGCACGCACTTCATCTTCGGTCCCGCCGCTGCGCTTACGACGGAACCTGGCGGAGCGCTTATCCACAGGGGGTCTGCGGCGGCGGTGGCGGCGGCAGGAAGCGGCCAGCACCAGCAGCACCAGCAGCACCACGGAGCGTTCCACTGCTTCGGAAGCGCGCTCGCTGTGGAGCGGTGCGCGTTTTGGTCCAAGCTCTCCGCGGGTCACGAGCGCTTTTATCAGCAGCAGCACCAGCACTTGCATCACCAGCAGCAGCAGCAGCAGGCCTTCTTGAACTCCAGTAATGAAACGGACAAAGCCGTCGTATCCAGGACTGGCCACGAGGTTGCGCCGGATGGACCCTCCGGCAAGGCCGGCCCACACTGCAAGGTGATCTTGGGCAGCCCGGCCGAGCTGCGGCTGTCGCTGCGAGCGGACGGGGTGGCCTTCCTCCCCTTCAGGAAGGCCGCGCCGTGGGTCCCGCAGGCCGACTCGATGCACCGAGCGGCAGTGGACTCGGTCAAACGAAGCGACGCTCAGCAACCGCAACAGCAGCTGCAGCAGCATCAGATGCCCCAGCAGCAGCAGCAGCACGAGCTGACTGGGCCTCGCGACCCAGCCGAGTGCAAGGGCGAACATCAATCGGGGACCAAAGCCTCCGTGAGCAGGGGCCGCGCACCGTGCAGGCAGCCGGCGGAGGTCACGCGCTGCGAGAACGACGCGGCAGCGGCGGCGGCGTCGGGGAACTGCGTGAAGCTGGCGCACGAGAGGTGCCAGCCGATCAGCAAGGGCGCGGGAGCGGCTCTCCTGCCCTTCTCCGTCGAGTCGCTGTTGAGAATCAAGTGAAGGCCGCGCAGCGCGTGGAGAACGTGTGCCGGGATACTGAGGCGTGAGAAGGTGTCGCCGATGAGGTGGTTCGGGACCATGTTGGGAAGGTTGTGCCTTGATGGTGGTGGTGGTGGTAGCGGTGTTACTGATTACGATGATGGCGATGGGAGTGGTGATGCACGTGCTGATGATGGTGGTGGTGGTGGTGGTTGTGATGATGGTACAAGTGGTGGAAGTGATGAAGATGGTGGCGTCGTTGAGAGGTGCAAATGATGATGATGATTGTGATAGTGAGATGGTGATGGTTGTGATGATGATGATATCGTAGTTATGACAGTTGGTGTGAACTATAATAATATAATTACGACAATGCTAAAATGATAACAACGTTAATGAGTTGATGATGGTGGTGATGATGATGATGGTGGTATTAGTGGCAGCGAAATGTCAAACTTACGGCGTTGTTGAACTTTCCGATTTGTTTTCGGCATGAGAAGAATAATAAGTAATAATCGCATTTTATTATTATTTATTAACTATTGCCATTAAGATCATTTTTCCTATTCTCGATAAAGCCAACTCAGCCACCGCTTGGCTGCACTCATCCAACCATGCAATAGTGTGGAAATTGTATGTAATAATATATTACACGTCTGTTTGTCAGCCTTGTTTATAATGTAACCATCTGCTGTAAGCCTTTAACCAAATATTGACGTACAAAACCACTTCGTGTGGTCACGAACCCGGATTAGTCTGTTTCGGTTTTTTTTTAGTTTTGCGATATATTGGAGTTTGCTCACGAGTTCACACATCAACAAGAATCCGGAGCTGCCCCGTAGTGCTGAGCTCCGGAAAATAAAATAAAAACATTCCATTAGAAATGAAGCCCTGTGGAAGTATAAAGATTCAGATAGTCGTCACCGGTGTTGGCTGTGAGCAGGAATCGAACTCGGGTCGACGGTTTCGTAGCGCAGCGCGCTAGCAACCACACTACCGATGTATATACACACACACACTCACACGCCGTGCAGATAACGTGCGCACACAACCTCAATCCATTCGTGAGTAACACTGTGGCCTTTTAAAGGCAAAATATGTAATCAGTAACTTTGTGAGCGATGGCCAGCCTTAATAGCGCGTGTAATGAAGAAGGGCCATTGCCCGAAACGTCCCCTAATATATATTATCCTTTTGAGGCCACACGGTGTTTATTGGATGAAGGTGTTGAGTGTTTGTTATTCGTGCTTGTGTATGGGTCAATTAATCCATGCGATCTTATGCTTGCTAACACAATGCTCTTTGCCTCCGCCTGCTTCGCCTATCGCGGTGTTTATATCGGAATCGTTATTAAACTATGCATTTCCTAAGTATGGATTACGAGTTTTTGTTGTTGTTGTTGTTGTAAATATATGAGCGCGCACACGTGGCTTTGAGAGGTAGGTGTGTGGCAATAACCCCCTCTCCCCTCCCCTCGAAGATGAGGATGCTACTAGCGCAGCGCTATCACCGAATGCCGTTGTTTAAATCGCATATCCACAGCTCGAGAGGTTGAAATCGTCCACTCTATGCCGCGCAAAGGGCGCGACCCCGTGTAAACATCGTTTTTTTTAAAGGACACTATTGCCCGGCGATCCGCTCTTTACACAGTGTACACAACGTCGATAAGCACCTCGGGCTGGAGTTGATGGCAAACACATTACGCTGTGCAAACAAGAGGCTGTAAGTCTCGGGTAAAAGACGAAAAATGTTTTGAGTGGGAGCCCTTTGTAGCGTCAACAACAAAAAAATGTCCAGCAGACACAGGTCCTGAACTCACCGCTGGATCAAACTGCCCGTCAGCCCCGGCTCCTCTCTCGTTCGCTCGCTCGCTCTCTCTCTCAGACCAGCAGAACGCCAAGCCAGCGACACGGGAAATGTATAAGGACAGGTCTGAGAATGGATTACATTTTCACCGAATTTATTTGTTCTTGTTGTTGTTCTGAGGCCGTTTTTTTTAATCGACTGGAGTAGGCACGTTCACAATCAGAATATTTATATTTAGACTTGAGGAGGAATCCGATGAGCTACGAAGCCCTCGTTCACTGATGTGCAGCAGGGGAGGATCAGAGAGTTACAACATCAGACAATAAAACAACTGATGGGAGTGCAAAATAGAGACAAGGTAAAAGCAAGTCACGGTACATACAAATAAAATATATGAGCGCAAATTGCATTAAGTACGTTTCTTGGTAGCCACAGCAAAAATAGTGAGATGGATACTGGATGTAGAGTGCAGGGTGTGGAAATATGTTCGAGGTCGCCAGCCCAAGCAAAGCCCTCGTTAAACAGAGTTACTGCTCTGAAAGTGTTTAAATTTGATAAGGGTTTGTTTATATGTTAAAACATCAATAATAACCCGTCCATAGGACGGCCAGTTCTCAGCCTACAAAATGTTAACAACTTAGCAGCTAAGTCTAGCTCAATCACCACAAACCTTGGGCTACTTTGACACGGCAACTGTGACCGTGTGATGGGGTTACTCCTAGCGTGCCTTGAACGCCACGTGGCATCTAAAACAAAGGCGGTGTGCATTATACGCACGGACTTTTCACTGACGAATCAGGGTTTGGCGAGGTAGACCCACATTTGCAAAGGGGCCGATAAAAAAGCAGCCAGCCCTCGCGAAGGCGTCGCCACGTTTCTTTAGGTGAACAATGTTTCATCATTAGACCTCCTTTGCCAGTACCAAAATATAAGAATAGGGTTTTCCCCTTTTTTCTGACAACAAAACTGAAACCTTTTTACGAGGATTCATGTCTGCATTAACCACAATACCTGCAGTCAAAATGCAAACAAAAAACATACTATGGTAATATATGCATTGTCCTTGAAACTGATTGGTCCACGCCAAGGGACGGCTATCTTTTGATAGTGCATTGTCTTTGAGTTGTACGCTTTTTGGCGTCATCTGGTCGAACACCAATTGGGTCGAGGCTCAAAAGAAAGCCGTCCCTTGGTGTGGACCAATCAGTTTCAAGAACAATGCATATATTATCATAGTATGTTTTTTTGTTTGCATTTTGACTGTAGGTATTGTGGTTAATGCAGACATGAATCCTCGTAAAAAAAGGTTTCAGTTTTGTTGCCAGAAAAAAGGGGAAAAACCCTATTCTTATATCGTGAACAATGTTGTGATGAACTTGGGATGAGAGCCGATGGAAAGAGAGCGACATGCAGTGTGGCGTTCAATTAATTGACCCCCGAACATTTGTTTTTCTCGTTTACGTATTAATTTCTGTTTAAAATAAAGATGACCTTACAAAAATAGATTACGTTTTAGATAATTAAACGGGGGGGGGGGGGGCACAAGACATGGATCGCCTTGTAGATGCGACGAGACAGTCAGTCGGGTAGAGCGAGTCCTCAACATACATTGGTGTGGAGGCATCAATGCGTGAAGTTCAATAGAACTTTCATCTAAGAAGTAGCAACAGAATAGCGCATTGTACTCGGAACCATGGCAGTAGCGATAGAAGAGTGATAAGGAAGTGATTGACCGTCGGTGAACGAGTGACTATTGAATCAGTACGTATGGTGCTGTAACCCTCCTCCAACCACCACTACGCTCTACACAAAGACAAAGATTCCCCGCCCCCCCCCGTAAGAATTTGCATCCCCAATGCTGATGTTTGCACAAAGCATTAGGCTGAGTCGACATAGGGGCAAGCCCTAGGGCCGGTTCAAATGTTCGCCGCTAATATTGGTCGTGAGCGGGATTCGAACTCGGCTCGCCAGTGTCCAAGCGCGCTGCGCTAACCGCTGCGCCACCGCTCCCTCTTTCACGGGCACTGCTTCAGACGGAGTCAAGGGGGCTGGCTGTAAATAATCCGCCCTGTGGTTGTTTCAACACAAAAGCTCCCTTTGCCCCGGAGGGCAAGGCGTTGAAAAGAAGAAATAAAAAAAATACTATGGAAGGGTTACGGGAAAACAAACAAAAAACTATCTTAAACAAAACAAAAAAAACTTACGGCTCAATTATTGTCCTCCTCGACGCTATCTCGGCCGCCGTAAGCACGGAGAAGTCTTCTTATCTCTGCGCCTCGAGTTCCCGTGCCCGTCTCCGGGTCCGCGCGTTGTTGATGGTTCCGCCGAAAATATCGGCGACGGAAAATTCTCTCGGCAACTATCGTGAACTCTTGTCACGAATGCGGAGACACAGGCGGCTAGAGAGAGAGAGAGTGAGAGAGAGAGATGGGGGATTTAGAGGCAGATTTCAGAAGACGCGAAAGGAGAGACAACGCAGTGTGGGTGCCGCGGATGACTCGGTCACCGCATCGCGTGGCGCTTCCAGACGCGCTTTTGCGGCCGTCTGGAACGCTCTTCCTTCCGATATTAGCAAGACACTGGGAGCCATGCACTTTCAAATCTAGTTTGAAAACGCATTACTTTGAACTGCTTTTTGTGTTTGGTTTGTTTTCCTTCCCCGAACATCCGATGAGAAATTCAACATGCCATCAACTCGTCCCCAACCAAGCCACCCACTCACCACACCTTTCGGCTGTCGGGGTTGATTGACCATACTTCACCAAGCTGGTTATTCCGCGCGGGTTGGTAATGTGAGTGCTTCCACCAGCAGGACGGTGTCAAATAGGACATACGTGGAGAGCAAATGAACCATTATCACAGTTGCTCGAAGCACTGCACCACCCGCTCCACCGCCAAGTTGTATTTGGAGTGCGTTATATAATTATGTATTGTATACTGTCATGGCTGGTGGTCGAGACTAACGATGGCGTGGGAGACGGAACGCAGCTGACATTGACTAGTTTGCAAAGTGGCCAATTGGATCGTTAGATTGTAGGATTTGCGTAACAGTTTCGGCCTGTAGAGTAAACTAAACACATTTGTTACTTTTGTTTTTTTTTCCAAATGAGGCCCACTGAGCTGTGTAGCTCTTTATTTAGAAGCGACCTGGCCACAAATGATAGCCAATGAAGTGGCTTAGCATGTGGAAATGTATAGCGGGCAGTTACTATAAACGCATGTTTCTGAATGTGGTGGGAAAAACCGGAGGACCCGGAGAACATTCCACGGAGAGAATATTCAACTCCAAATATACAGCAGGCGTCACGGTTGGGATCGCACCCATGTCCTCCTGTATACCAGGCGAGGTCGTTAACATCAATCCAACAGTCGACTCATACTGGCCACTGCTGCTGCTGATACATTCTGAGTGGCAGTATTGTTTTACTGTCATAACACTCATTAATTGTGTTAATGGTCCGTTGTGCGCGCCGTGTTGTGTGTGCGTGTGTGTACCGTGTCACTAATTATAATAATAACAACAACAAAATAGGGGCCGGTATTGTGCGGTTATCCTCTCGTAGAACGCGTGCGGAGAGACGGAGCGCATTGAGTAGGCAGGATGCCCGAGTGAGGGTCGTGTGATTTGCAGGTGTCATCGCGTTGGGCATTACCCATTGCACACATTCATCGTGCATCCCCATCGCAGTCCAATATCGTCATGAGCATCACGATTGATCACCACGATTGTTCATTCGCATTTTCATCGTGGTCATGCTCATTATAGGGTCGCACTCATTGCACACAAAGTGCTTGCCACAACTGCACCACAATACCTTGCTGATCTCGTCAAGGAATATAAAGCATCACGCGAACTCCCATCATCCTCGCAGCAGCGACTTATTGGCTAGTCATCGAACGAAGACGGTGGTCGATGCATCGCGCGCGTTCAGATGCGCTTCTTCGGCCGTCTGGAACGCTCTTCCTTCCGATATTATGAAGCCACTGGAGCTATGCACTTTTACATCTAGAGTGAAAACTCGTTTCTTCAAAGCTGCTTTTTGTGTTTAGTTCGTTGGTCTTCCCCCGCACCTCCGATTAGCACAGTTGTGTACGTGCGGTGCGAAAGAAGTCCAACACACATGCATAGTCTATTATAATCATCATCATCCTTATCACTGATACCGTCATCACAATCACTATCGTCATTATCATCCTCGTTGTCATCATCACTCGCACCACCATTGTCATCGTAGCCACCATCGTCAACATTGTCAACATTTTGATTTAAAGCTTTCGTGACTGCAGTAATTCATATTCTTAGTTGTTTCGGTAAAGTCACGTTGAAGAATATATTGTCAACATTGTTCACTATTCAACGTCGTCATCATTGTCATAATATGCATTAACCATTATCGTGCCGTTATCCTCATCGTCATCATGCATCATTATCATCGTCACTTCCATCAACCGTATGAAGTATTATTTATCATTACAATTATCATTGTCATAACTACCATGAATATACCACCACGATTGCCTATCACTATCTTCTTCCATCATCATCATGGTGACAGGTGAACTA